TTTTGCCATCGTCAAGAACTTCCTTGTTTTTCTGTCTAACTTCATAAGTTCTTCCATTTTCCAGTTTATGATGTTGAAACTATAAGTGACGACTGGGACAGCAAGAGTGTTGATTGCGTCAATTCTGTTGGCAGCATTAAGTTCGGATTTGAGCACTAGGCGAATTCTACGGTAATACTCTTTCCGAATTTTCTCTTTCATCTTGGCATGTTGGATCCCATCTCCTTCATTCACACCAAGGTATTTGTAGGTGCCTTCCTGCTCGAGGTCTTGTATGGTGGTACCAACATCGAGTTCGATGTTTTCGGTTTTCACCAGTTTGCCTCCTTTGAATGTAGCTTTGGCGCACTTAATTTTCAAGCCCAAATTTCATTCTTATATCATCACTGAAGCCTTTGACAATTTTATTATTATTGTTATTATTATTATTATTATTATTACGCTAAAATTTTAATTATTATTATTATTATTATTATTATTATTATTATTACTGCAGTGTGTAAAATGAAAAACTATATATTGGGTAATGAGTCCAGGAACGTTAGGGAGACTAAATTGCTTTTGGTTTGGCTATTTTGCAAAGGAGGATTGAAATTGGGATAATTTTTGGAGCACGTGAGGTTTGGTTTAAACTTGCCTAGCCTAAGAAATAAAAATATTTTAAGCTCGAGATTTATTTGAGAGCGAATATTCTAACTGTTTTTGTAGAATTCCGACTAAAATTTATTTGAAATAAAGAAGTCCCAATATTTACCCGTTAGAAAATCACGCGGGGATGGAAATGTCCACACAGTTTGACTCTTGCAGCTGTTAATACGGGCTCACCACCTCAGTCTATTGAACAACTGTTATGTTTTGAGGTCGCATCACAGCGAATTTGCTCCCTTTAGTCTTCATGAAATTTGAATTATCCAGTGATGTTTCAAGACCTTTGCTGAAATTTTGGAGAAACGGAAAAATGTTTCATTATGCGAACGACCCACAGCCCTTGTACATGGACACTAATGGCTGCTAGCGATATTGCGCGATGGGTCATCAGCCAATCTGACTACAGCATATAAAATAGTCTACTAGTAGAATTCTACTAAAATCTTTGAGGAAGAGTTTTTATATAATTTTGTTCTCCAGTTTTGGCGGAAAGACTCATGCAGGTGTTCCTGGTGAAAGACGATGTGAAGTTCGGTTTGATGGACCACGGTCAATATTTGGACATGGCTTTTTTCCTTCTGATGGACGAATCCATTTCGATGAAGACGACTATTTCACTGAAACTGGTACTACGACTGGGTGGTGGTTTTGGGCAAAGGAATCTGTATCCGTACTTTATGTAGCTGTACATGAGATAGGCCATGCGTTGGGCTTGGGGCACTCCAACGTTCGGGGCTCTACTATGTGGCCCACAGGAAAGACAGGAACGCCTAGATTAACTCAAGATGACGCTGACGCAATAAGAGTTCTATATGGTGAGTGTGTATTTTAAAAAAATGCCATTTTAATACTCTCTCTATTACCAAGCTGTATTAATCTTCATACCGGTCTTGTAAATAGACGTGAGGAGTTCGATTTGGGGTAGTAAAACTTTCCATTAAAGTAACCACGGCAAAAAAAAAAATCAGTCTTACCTCATCTTATTTTTTAGCTTAAGGAGAAGGTGCTTGCTTGAACCGTAAAATAAGTGTTGTCATTCATCTGAGTTAAGAGCAATATAGATATAAGAAGGTTCAAGTTCCTAACAATCTTTCTTGTCCTACTAGGCTACCACTCGATCTCTGATAGGGTTATGATATTTTAGCCATGTATTTTATTATTAATATATATCTGGAATTCTGTCTATTCTTCATTGCAGGTTTAAAGTGAGCATTTTTGGAGGAGTAAAGATTGTGTCCACCTTTGCACCGATATATTCTAGGAGCAGAAGAGACAAATTTCCTTAGTTGTTATTGTGATGGCAATAAAACCTGTACTGTTATACCGTTTGCCTGCTTTTCTTTGCTCATTGGTAGAGTATTGGGACTTTGACCCGAAATTGACATTAATGATTAGCCGAGGTCATAGGCTTCTGACGTCTGCTGATAATTATCATAATTTACAGAACGTTTATAGTTGCAAAACAAAGGAACTCATATGTTACAAGCTGGAATAAGGACCAATGGTTAATGCGTAAGAAAAATGGAGAAAAATGTCAAGTTATTGCTTTTCATCTTTATTCAAAGTTGTAAACTTACGATTTGAAGCAATTTTTTTTATTTAATTACAACAATGATGAAAACTTTCTTGATAGCTATCTTATTGCTAGAGAAACATTTCACACTGATATGTTAAGTACCACTTCTAATTTAAGGCTATGTTCACGAGAACTTCTAAAGTCTAGTCGTTAAACATCACTAATATTACCCTTCCCATCGTATTCGTCTACAAGAGCTAACTCGAAAAACAATGGCAAAACAGATGTCTGATTACGTCCTTCACTGCTTGTCTGACTTCTTATAGCTTCTAACAGTAGAGAATCGAGTTTAATGACGAGTTTAAGAAAACTAAAGTGATTGCAAAAATCCAAGCGTAAGAAAAGATGAAGATAGTCCACTATTAGTCGCTGAAGTCGCCACTACACAATAGGGACCTTTAGCACCGAGAGTTTTCATAGCGACGGCGACGTCGGTGGACGAAAGAGACTAGGGCGAGGACGGCGTTGTTCGCGCCAAAATATAAACCTTGAGCACCCTTTATCTTCCGACGGCAACTTGCCGAGGTCTTTGAAAATGAACAAATTTAAGACTTGTCGAGAGATACCTTTGCTTAGCTACACAGACAAGAACATTTCGGACAAAGAATTTGTTCCATTATACGACTGTTATCGTTAAAAAAAATCCAGATTTCGGCTATCAATCGTACGATGTTTTCGATCTAGAAAACATGAATTCAGCTGACTGCAAAGCCGAATTTCGAATTGAAAAGGCAGACCTTCCTCGCCTTGCAGATCCCTTACATATTCCCGCAGTGTTCCATTGCAAACAGGGAGGCATATGTGATGGTTTGGAGGGACTGTGTGTGCTGCTGAGACGAACAAGTTATCCCTGCGGATTCAGCGATATGATTCAACGTTTTCTAAGACCAGTTTCTGTTTTGAGTTTGATTACAAATGAAGTCATGGATTTTATTTATGACAACCACTGTCA